GGTGCGTGGCTTTTGTGCCCGCACCAAAGGTCACTTTGGACACCCGAAATGGGTACCGAAAGAATGGGTACAATGCCCAACAACAAGTGTTGTCCCAAACCAACAGCGGCCGCTGTTGGGCAGGCGGCCTCCTGTCTCGAATGGACACAGGCCGCGGCGGCGCGGACAGCGAATCCTGTTCAGAATGAACAGGAACTGCTGTTGGGCATCGTACCCGTTCTTTCCGTGCCCATCTCGGGCGTCCAGAGTCACCATCTGTGCCCGCACCAAAGGTCACTCCGGCGAAAGGTCGCTCTTACGTCTACGGCAGGTTCGTGCCGTGTCGACCCGGGCGTTGGTCCCTGACGCCGCGAGGATCGTTCAACCTTGAACGATCGGCCATTTCCGTAGCGTCCGATCGTTCAACATCGACCGATTCTGGGCCTCCGCCGGCATTCAATGTTGAACGCCGGCGTCGGGGTCGCCGCCGGTCGACACGACGCGAACCTACCGTAGTCGAACTCTTCGCATGCCCTCGCCCAGCCTTCCACTCCCGGGCCCTGCGCAGAGCCTCCCCTCTCGGAGGCCCCCCCCCAAAAAAACTCCCTCTCGGATCCTGCGCCCCTCCCCCCCAAAGCCCCCCCTCCCCAAAAAACACACACCAAAACCCCCCCCCGGGCCCTGCGCAGAGCCTCCCCTCTCGGAGGCCCCCCCCCAAAAAAAACTGCCGCGGGGCCCCACCGCCGCGCGGCGAGTCGGCGGGGCTCCCCGGGGCCGCCGCCTGGCCCCGGGACGCGGGCCGTTCTCCCCGGGGAGGTCCGGCGCGACGGGGGCCTCCGAGGCCCCAGACTTAAAGTCGGGCGTGTCCCCCTACAGGGGGATTTTGGGCGAAAAATTCGCCGGCCCAACGGGCCAGGGCGTGCTAAGATCTCCGGTAACTGGTTAACAGTATTAACAGTATTTCTAGTTCGCGCGCGCGGGGCGGCCCCTGGGGGTCCCCCGGCGAAAAGTACCCCGACCAACGCCCGGTCGCCGCCCGACCGCCGCCCGACCAAGTCTACTCAGAGATGGTTTTCCTTCTGGGTGCGGCCTCTCAGGCTCCCCAGAGCGCGCTCAGAGTGCCCCAAGAGGCCCCCAAGACTGCCCAAGAGGCCCCCGAGACGCCCAAAGAGCGCTCGAAGACGCCGAAGATGACCCCAAGACGGCCCAAAAGGCCCCCAAGACAGCCCAAGAGGCCTCCAAGACGCCCCAAGAGCCTTCCAAGAGGCCTCCGAAGAGAGCCCCAAGAGGCCAAAATCGTTGATTTTCATTGTTTTTTCGATGTTTTTTGTGTTCTGGCTTTTTCGGCTTCCGGACGCTCCAAGACGGCCCAAGAGGCCCCCAAGACCGCTCCAAGACGGCCCACGAAGCTCCCAAGACGGCGCCGAAACGACCCAAGAGAGCCCTCAAGACGGCCCAAGTGCCGCCCAAGACGGACCAAGAGGCCCCAAGACGGGCCCAAGAGGGACTCAGGAGGGATACCGAGAACTCAAAAATGGAGCCCTCCGTCCCAGAAGGCGCCCAGGAGGTCCCAAAGAGGCCCCAAGAGGCCTCCAAGAGGCCCCAAGATGTCGCCAAGAGGCCCCAGGAGACTCCCAGGAGGCCCAAAAGAAGCCCCAGAAGGCTTCAAACATGTCTCCCAGGCGCCCCCGAACGGCCTCTCAACAGACCCCAAGAGGCCCCCCAAAGAAGCATCTTGACGACGACTCTATTTCGCCCCATCGAGAGACGACCCCCAGGGAACTGCTTCACCATCAAAACTCCCCACGCAACGCGTCCGAACGACACCCGCCCCCAAGAGCGCAACATGGGCAACGAACACACAGACAAAAACCAGCGATGCCATATCACGGGCCGGCGGAATGAGCGAAGCGATTCAATAAAAAACATACTCAAAAAAAAGCCTGAATAGGCAAACATACTCAAACAATCGTCCCCATAATATTTTTGGACTATTTTGGAATATTCCTCCTGTGGAGGGACAGGCCCGACTTCATCCCAGACCCGCGCGGTCCCTCGGATTTCGAGGACGCCGCGCTGTCTGACACCCTCGGGTCTGGGCACCCTCCGATCTCCTGGCACGCCAGGAGCGCGCAGGGGCTGGCGCCAGAGACGCAGCCAGAGGGCAGGGGGCCAGCGCCGATCCAAAGGAACCCGCGCGGACCTTCAAGAAAGCGCAAGCTCGTGAATTTGTTGTCTTCACTTCACTTCGCTGGCGTGGCAACGCAGGCCAAGGCCACGCAAGCCTGGTCAGATCCCACAGGAACGAACAGTGGAGGCTCGAGTTTTGCTCCGACGAGTCCGCATTAGGGGGCCACATGTGAACCCTACCCCTACCCCCCACGATTTCTGAGGGGGAGGGTGGGCTTCACTTCGTTCGGGAGCTCCCGAGCGAAGTGAACCCCACCCTCCCCCTCAGAAATCGTGGTGGGTAGGGGTAGGGTTCACATGTGGCACCCGACGCATGCGCAAAGACTGGCCACAGGAGAAGAAGCGAACACGGCATGAACGCGGACTGCCGAAGCTCCGCGCGGATGTCCTGCACCGGCGCTGGAGCCCCCGCTCCTGGCGCTGGAGGCGCCGCCCGGGAGCGGGGCCGCGACGATCCAGGAGATGCGTGCGAAGTCACGACCGTTTCTTTGTGGATGCCACGACAGTGGACACCCAGACAGTCCTGTCATTGAATCTGAAATGTGCTTGCAATGTCGGAAATGTTCTAGACATGCTTTAAACATATTGCTCACGCGTTTAATCTTGGACGCCCGAGTTATCCGGGGTAACTCGGGTCCGGGGAAACTCGGGCTTGGGTTCCCGAAAAACGAACCCGAGTTAGCCCTGACCCGAATTACCCCTGATGATTCGGGGCTCTGGACGCCCGAACTATCCGGGGTAACTCGGGTCCGGGATAACTCGGGTTCGGATTCCCGAAAAACGAACCCGAGTCAACGCTGACCCGAGTTACCCCTGATGATTCGGGGCTCTGATAATCGGGGATGGACAGACCTCCCTTTCGTAAAACGTGGTTTAGTAAAAACGACCTGAGGCCCAAACCTGGCGGCCGCAAGCCTGGAAAATAACGGCCACGGCGCCCTCTCGAAAACGAACGGACAATTCACTAATCGACGTGGCACTGTTGGGGGTTCTGTCCACCCCCGATTTAAAACATGTTAAACACATGTTTTAGACATCTGGAAATTACTTGGCACCATATTTCCTCTCCATCGATCGTCCTCCACAAGTTTATGTTGACACACTGTTTCCTTCGAAGTCCGCTCGCGTTGCGACGTGACGCCTCCAGGCAAGGCCACGCTGGCGCCCGGTCCCCGCGCCCGCGGGTTCGCCGGGATCCGGGCCGAGGCGCCCACTCGTAACTCTCTCTCTCTCTCTCTCTCTCTCTCTCTCTTCTTTTATATATATATATGTGTCTCTCTTTCTCTAACTCTCTATGTTTTTGTTCATTGTTGCCTTATCTCGCTCTCTCTGTGTCTCTCATGTTTGTTTGTTTTTGTTATCTCTCTCTCTGTATCTTTTTACCTCTCCCCCTCTTGTTATGTGTTTCTCTTCCTCTCGGTTCCTCTCTTGTTGTCGTGTTCTCTCTCTCTCTCTCTGTGAAGTGAGATCAGGGAGCGTAGCCCGAGACCCGTAGGGCGAAGACGACAGCGGGCTTCTCCTGTGCCCGCCCGTGCCAACACCTCAGCCGATCGGGCAGCGGCCTTGGAGAGGAGGGGGGGTGCGAGGGTTAGAGGGGGCAAGCCCCTCTTCTCGGATCCACCTCTCTCTCTCTCTCTCGCCCTCTCCTCCCCAGTTGTCCTCCTCTCCTCTGCCGCCCCCTTTCTTCCTCCCAGCTCTCCGCCAAGGGCGCCCTCGGCACGAGTCTTGGAGCCTCCCGCGGCCGTGGGAGGGGCGGGGGGCCGCCCCGGCGGGTCCCTGCCACGCCCTGCGGCCGCAGCGGGGCCCCGGAGCGGCCGCGTCGGGGCGCCAAGGGGACCCCCCTCTCGAGGTCGAGAACGCGCCGCGCGTCGCGACGCGCTCTCGCATCGCGGCGCGTCGCGAACCTGCGTCGCATCCGAGTTTGCACCTCGCGGCTCGCGACGTGCAAACGCGGAGGGCAAGGTTTGCCCCGCCGTCCCCACCGCCGAGCCGCACCGAGGCATGACCAACCACCGGCGTTCCCTCCTGCCCTGTCTGCGGGGGCCCGTGCTGGCCAGGGGTGGTGCCAAGCTCTCTTCCTCCTCCTCCTCCTCCTCCTCCTCCTCCTCCTCCTCCCTCCTCCCTCCTCCTCCCCCTCTCGCAGCGTGCAGAACGATGGGGTGTCCGAGAGGCAAGCGCGGTGCGACGTGCCTGCCCCCGCAGCACTCCTCCTGCTCCTCCTCCACCTCGTCCTCTTCCTCCGCCTCCTCCTCCTCCTCCCTCCTCCCTCCTCCTCCTCCTCCTCCTCCTCCCTTCTCTCTCCTCCTCCTCCTCCTCCTCCTCCTCCTCCTCCTCCTCTCCTCCTCCTCCTCCCTCCCTCCTCCCCTCCTCCTCCTCCCCCTCCTCCCTCCTCCCTCCTCCTCCTCCCTCCTCCTCCTCCTCCCCCTTCTGCCCCGTCGTGCCCAGACGGCGAGGCGGGATCCACACAACATGTAGCCGTCGGCCCTCGCAGAGTCGCACGCAAAGAGAGCGGGGCAGGCACGGCCGTGTGACCACCACGCGGGTGGGTTTTCAATTTGGACGCCCGAAACGGGTACGGAAAGAATGGGTACAATGCCCAGCAACAAATGTTGTCCCAAACCAACAGCGGCCGCTGTTGGGCAGGCGGCCTTCTGTCTCGAAGGGACACAGGCCGCGGCGGCGCGGACAGCGAGTCCGGTTCAAAAATGAACAGGAACTGCTGTTGGGCATTGTACCCATTCTTTCCGTACCCATTTCGGGCGTCCAGCCTCAAGAACTACACGCGCTGAGCAATCCGAGCTCGGGAGCCGACTTGCCCAACACCGAAGAGCCTGCGGTGCAGTCATGGCGCGCTCGTGGCCAGCCTTGAGCTGGACGCCGAACGTCTCCTCGAGCTTGATTGGCTGCAGCGCGGCCGAAGCTGTGGCCGTCGCCTGCGGCGCCGTCGCTCGGCGTTCTCCCCATCCGAGGTTCTTGCCTGCTGATTGGCTCACAGACGCGCACCGAACGCGTTGGCTCATGAGTGCGGCTCTCGTCGAGCTGAAACTGCTGGAATGGCACCACTGCGAGTATTCGAAAACCGACGCAAACGTCGGATAACCCTGGATACTATCCGAAGATATCGGCAAACCACAAAGATCATGCGAACACCTCCGAAGACTTCCGACGACCTCGGAAACTTCTGAAACACCCCTGGCAATGGGGAAGGCAAACAATACCGATATTGCTACTCCCCCGACCTCTCCTGGAGTGCGTTCTGACCAGAATTTCGAAACGAATTTCCCCCGACTTGCCCCAGGAAGCCAAACCTGGTTGACCTAGGAACCTGGACAGGAATTTAGAATCGCGAGACGTGGCAACGTTTTCAAGGCACCTGATCGGGCGAACACATCCATCGTGATGTACCGTACCCAAGACTGTGCTCTGCTGTGCCGTGCTAAAACGAGAGATGCCGTGCCTCAATGACTTGCGTTGTGCTCTGTAGTGTTGTGGGTCAAGTCTCCTTCGGCATCCGAATCCTGGCCGAACTGATCTGGATCTTCAGCTCGAGCTGCCTGAACGCATCACCGGTCCACAACTGGTTGCAATTCGGGCGAAGAGATGTATGCACGTGCACCGACCCTGGCCAGGCCCATCCTGGGCCCACGATCGGTGCATAGGCTCTCCTGGCCAAGGCAGGAGGGCGTATGCACCGATTCTGGGCCCAGGATGGGCCTGGTCAGAATCGGTGCATGTGCAGACTTCTCTTTCCTCTAGCAGTCGAAACGTGTGGGGCACTCACTCAGCTGGAGCTCAAGATCCGACTCGATTCCGAAGCGAGACGAGACAAAACTGGGCGCAAAGCACACAAACGCGTCACGGAACGTGCCAGTGGCGCTACGGGATGCGCCGAGAGACGTGTCAAAGCACGTGGCAAGGGAGGCGACACAGAACGGCCAGGGAAAGCGCCAGGGGACAAGCCAAGGAACGCGACAAAGACGAGACAAAGAACGCGCCGAAGGGGGGTATGCGCCGTCCCGCTCTGGGGCGTTAGGAACCCGTGTTTTCACGCTTGTCCCACTCTGGGGCGCCAGGAGACCATCTGTTGTCACGTGTACAGGCCCAGGGACGGATACCTAACATGTGGTAGTGGAAACACTAGGTTCCAATTCGGGATGAACATATTGAATGCCGCCCTAGGTGACCTGGACACGTAAACACGTGGCTCCAGCTGGGAAACACCATGTCAGAAACCCTTCGGGGTGGTCCAGACACGTAAATAACCTACATGTTCTGGGAACCTGAAAGCACGTGGTCCCAGCTAGGGACCATCATGTTAGATACCCCAGTGGGGGATCTGGAAACTGACCAGCCGAAGGAACGGTGTCAGGTGATTACACATATGATGCCGATGTATTTTCTTGTCTGATGTTCATCTGGGTTACCTGGACATGTAACAACACATAGTTCCGGCTCGGGGCAGCCATGTTAGATACCCCTTCTGGGTGGTCTGAACATGCAAACACGTGGTTCCAGCTCGAGGCCACCCTTTTAGATACCTCTCTGGGTGGCCTGGACACATGCAAACACGTTGTTCCAGCAGGCGGCAAGAGGCAACCATCTTAGACATTCGCCAATGAGCGGCCTGGACATGTACAAACACTTAGTTTCAGCTCGGGGCAGCCATGTTAGATATCCCTCTGGGTGGTCTGGACACGTAAAACCACATGGCTCCAGCTCGGGACCGTCGAGTATTAGATATCCCCTCTGGGTGGCCTGGACAAATGAACACACTTGGCTCCAGCTGGGAAATATCATCGTAACTGCCCCACTAGGCGGCCTGGACACGTACAAACACGTGTCTTCAGTTCGGGGGCACCATGTTCGATACCCCCTCCGGGCGGCCTGGACACGTTAAACCACTTTGTTCCAGCTCGGGACCACCATGTTAGGTACCCCAGGGGGGGGGATCTGGAACACCACAAGCCGAAGAAGCTGTTTCACGCTATTACGCATGTGTCGCTTTATTCATGTTATCTGGCTCTTGTAGGCCATTGTGGGCCCCCACAAAACAACCACATGTTAGATCCTCCCGCCGAGGGTGACCCGCACACGTAAAAACACGTGCTTCCTGCTCGGGACCACCATGGTATATACCCCTTCTGGGTGGCCTGGACAGATGAAAAACAAAGGGTCCCAGCGAGGGACCACCACGTTACATACCCAACTGGGTGGCCTGGACACGTAAAAGCACGTGGTTCAAACACGGGCACCACCTTAGATGCCCGCCCGAGTGTTTGTCCATCGAAAGCCAACCATGTTGGATACCCCCCCTGGCAACCTGGGAACGTGAAACGATTATTTCGCCTGAGACTTCCTCTGAGGTCTGGCCCCCCAGGAGAGAGGCGCAATCTACAGGACAAACCAGGCGTTGTGTTTGAAACGTGTTCAATACATTCGGCAAAACAAGCGTTTCGATCGAGACGCCCGCAGCATACGCCAACGTTTGCATTGCCCAGGACCTGGGCATCCTGGGGCGCCGAAGTCTTCAAAAGTGTTGCACAACGCAAGCGTTTCGCTCGAGGCGTCCTCGAGCACTCTTCGCGCAATGCGCGCCTTTCTCGACCGTGCACACACTTTTGATCCGCGGGTCGAGAGCGCACCTCTTCTGGTCGACGCTAAGCGGGCCGCGCGAAGCTTGAATTAACCAGAGATGGGGGAGCCGAGCGGGTACACACACGCACAGTCGAAATCTGCTCATTTCTGCGAACTTGGCAGGCCTCCGGACCTCGGGGAGACTCTGCGCCAAACGCTGTTGCACCCTGGTTTTTCAAGAAAGGGGAGCGGGGTTCTGCGGACCCTGTTATTTATCAAGGATCCGAGATGGGGTAGGCACAATTTTCATGAGCGGGCACGCGCAAAAGGCATCTTGTAAATACAAACTTGGGCTTCACCTCGTTATTTTTTTCCGAGCGGACATCCGCTGGCCCACCTCAAGTCGAAGCAAGGGGGTACACCTACTGAAAGAGAACACGGCCCCAGCCCTCTCTGGGAAAGACCTTTTCCTCCACGCCACCGAACCTCGCGCGAAGCGTGGGTCCCGGTGGTTCAGAGATCAGAGGGCAGAAGTCCCACCCCGACAATGACCACCCCGACACGCGAAGCCGCTTAGTGAACGCACCCAAAGAAAAAATCAAACAGGAGAGGCGGGTTCAATAAACGCCAATTAATCAGTCCGGGTGGTTCTTCCTCCCTTGAAAGATTGGGTCCAGAGGGATGGGGCCCGAAGGACGAGGTGCCTCAAGCAATGTGAATCCAATTTTGGAGCCCTTCTTATCATCAGGTCCCTACAGTCAGGCCGCTGAAAGAAGGAACGCTAAATAAGGAACGAAGCCCCTTCTCGGCCCTGTGAGCGCCTCCGTGCCCGAGGAGGGCAAGAGGAACGGCACTGGAGGAACCTAAGGAGCACATCGAGCCCCTTCCAAACCCAAACTGTTCCTTATTTCAGCGTCTTGACTGTATCCCTCAGGCCCCCGTCTTTGAACCGCCGAGGGCCTCTGCGCGCCCCAGGGCGGGACTCCTCTCCCGCGCAGGCACTGCAGCGCGGGGGGCGCGGTGCCCTCCGCACCCCTGCGGGTCGCCGAGGGCTCTGGCCCCTCGCGCTCCTCTTCTCCCCGCCCGCGCGCCTCCTCCTCCTCCTCCTCCTCCTCCTCCTGCTCCTGCTCCTCCTCCTCCTCCTCCTGCGCCTTCTTCTCCAGCTTCCCTTCCTCCTGCTCCTGCTCCTGCTCTTGATCCTGCTCCAGCTCCTGGTCCTGGTCCTGCTCCTTCTCCTCCTTCTCCTCCGCGGCCCGCGCGCCTCCTTAGGAGAGCGGCCTCCTGCACGATCCTCTCGGGCGCGGCCCAACCGCACCCAGGCAAACCATCCCCGTCTGTGAGGTCGTCCTCGCCTTTCGGGCTTCCCTCCGGCCGCATACAGATGTCTTGGGCCGCGGCGAGGGGGACGCGACGGAAGGGGGGCGGCTTGCGAGGGGTCGGTCTGGCCGCCCCTGATCCTCGCGCGCCGCCAGCTGAACCGCGGCTGCCTGCGCAGGCCCCGCGCCGGCGAGCAGCGGGTGCCGCTGGTGCGCCGTCAGCAGGACGAGCGGCAGCGCTGCGCCAACGAGCCCCAGTGCCCACGCCACCCCGTGCGGCGGCAGCGTCCGCCACGAGGGCGCGGCGGGACAAGCGCCCCTCCGAGGATCGTCGTCATGTGCAGGGCTTGGGTTTATACACGTCCATCCACCGCCCGGGGAACCGATATAGCCAGACCCCAGGCGGCAGCGGACATGGACATATTGGGTCCTAAGGGGGACCAACGACATCCACATTCACCACCGCCTAGAGGGTCCTGGGAAATCGTTTCCCCAGACGGCGAAATTGTATTGACTCCAGCCTAGGATCATCGAAAGCCAGGTCCAACCTCAGCAGCGGGTTCGAATCCGCCAACCCGAACCTCATCAGGGCGACAGCGCATGTAGCTGGTCAGGGTGTGACGGGCTGGGGGCTCCTGCGCAGGCCCAAAGCATACGCGCGACACCTGGACACAAACACACCAGTATAATGAGATATGAGCTGTTGTTTTGAGCAGGGACCGACCGTCTCGGCAGTCCTATAGTCCTACCACGAAATGTTCTTAGAACCCCCAAATGTTCTAAGAACAGAAGCAATGTTCTTATAACATAAGCCCGATGTGTTAAACTAAGACAGTCTGAGCCAGACATGTTCTAAGACCATTTCGTGGGAACAACAAGAGGTTCTTAGAACATTGTTTGGTGGGGCTATAGGCGAGCCAGGACGCGTCGCCACTGCTTGAGTTTTGGTGCTCTATGGCCTCCGAGGGCGAGCGAGGCCCAGGCCTCTGTGGATGCACACCCACCAGGGGTGCCCTGCCGCGGGCGAGGGCGGCCCACGCCTCCCCGCAGGCACCCCACCGAGGGCTCGGCCCTGCCCCCAGGTGTCCAGAGCCAACTCCGGCCGCGGCGACGAGGGCCCCCCCCCGAAGCTGTCCACAGCCACCGGCGACGACGACGCCGCCGCCGACGCCGCCGACGCCGACGCGTACGACGACGCCGACGCCGACGCGGACGACGACGACGACGACGACCACTAACAAGACGACGACGACGATGACAACGACCAAGTGTTTCGGTAGGGGGTTTTCCGGTGAGGCGGGGGGCACGACCTAACGGCAGGGGCATCTGATGGCGAGCGCGGCACAGGTCTCTTTAGAAGCAACCAACCGAGGGGTCGGCCCTGCCCCCCGAAGATGTCCAAAGCCAACTGCGGCCGTGGCGCCGAGGGCTCCCCCCAGGATGTCCAAAGCCACCGACGACGAGGACGACGCCGACGCCGCCGCCGCCGCCGCCGCCGCCGACGACGACGACGACAACAAAATAAGACGACGACGACGACGATGACAACGACCAAGTGTTTCCGTAGGGGTTCGGGGTTCTTCGGCAAAGCTGGGGGCGCCCCCTAATGGCCGGGGCCTCCGAGATCGAGCGCTGCCCAGGTCCCCCTGGAAGCAGCAAACCGACGGGTCGGCCCTGCCCCCCGGAGATGTCCACAGCCAACGCCGACCGTGGCGACGGAGGCCCTCTCTGAACATGCCCCAAGCCACCGATGACGACAACCAGGTGCTTCGGTCACGCCCCCCGAAGGTGTCCAAAGCCAACGCCGACCGTGGCGACGAGGGCCCCCTCTGAACAGGTCCAAAGCCACCGATGACGACAACCAGGTGCTTCGGTCGCGGTGCTGCGGCGAAGCTGGGAGCACGACCTAACACGGCGGGGGGCTCCGAGGGCGAGCGCGGCCCGGGTCTCCCCGGCGGCAGCCAGACGAGGAAGCGGCCCAGCAGCCCGAATATGTCCAGAGCCAACTCCGGACGTGGCGACGAGGTGGAGTGGTAGAGCAAGGGCGAGGGGAGTAGAGTAGAGAATAGGCAGTGAATTAAGCAATACACACAAAGTTCCAAACCAGTAGGGTACGTTCGGGTATGGTAGGATAGAGTAGAGTAGGGAAGATTGAGAGTAGGGCATAGAGAGCCGAGCAGAGAATAATAGATGGCAGAGTACAGCAGGAGTATAATAAGTAGGAACAACGTAGTGTACGATCGAGAATGTTAGGGTACGGTAGGGTCAGAGTAGGGAAAAGAGTAGAGCGGATGATAGTAGAGTAGAGTAAAGTAATAACAATTTGTAACACATCAGAGTATATCAGGGTACGCTAGGGTATACTATAATGGAGTAAAGTAGTAGGCGAAGTAGAGTAGAGCAGACGAGCGTCGAGTAGAGAAGAGTGTGGTAGAGCAACTCAGAATACATGAAAACCCTAAACGAATGCTCGGAGAGCTTAATCGAGTCCTAGCAACATTCTATCAGAGACGTCGCCTGGCGCGGACGCTAGCAACAGGTGCTCCGAGCCGCCGCTGAAGTCGTCGTCGTAGTCGTCTTCACTGTCGTCGTCATCGTCGTCATCGTCTTGTCGTCGTCGTCGTCGTCATTGGCGTCGTCGTCGTCGTCGTCGTCGGCCTCGTCGTCAACGTCGTCATCGTCGTCGTCGCCGTCGTCGTCGTCGTTGTCGGCAGCGTCGCCGTCGTCGTCGGCAGCGTCGCCGTCGTTGTCTTCGTCGTTCTTGTTGTCATCGTCACCGTCGTCGTCGTCGCCGTTGCCGTCGTCGTCGTCGTCGTCGTCGTCGCCGGTGTCGGCGTCTGCGCCAGCGTTGTCGTCGTCTTCCATCGTGCATCGTGCTTCGCGCGTCGTGCGTCGTCGTCGTTGTTGATGTCGTCGTCGTCCGGGTCGTCGTCGTTGATGTCGTCGGCGTCGTCGTAGTGATTGTCGTCGTCGCCGTGGCCGCTGTCGTCGTCAGTGTCCATGTGGGCGTCGGCGTCGTCGTCGTCGATGGCGTCGTCGTCGTCGCCGTCGGCGGCGGCGTCGTCGTTGGCATCGTCGTCGTCGTCGTCGGCGTCGACGGCGTCGTCGTCGGTGTCGTCTACGTCGTCGTCGAATACGTCGTCGTCGTAGCCTCCGTCGTCGGCGTCGTTGGCGGTAGCGTCGTCGTTATCGTCGTCGTGATCGCCCACGTCGTCGGCGCCAGCGTCGCCGTCATCGTCGTGGTTGCCGTCGTCGACATCTTCGTCGTCGTTGTCGTCGTCGCCGCCGCCCAGCGTCGTCGTCGTCGTGCGTCGTGCGTCGTCGTTGTCGTTGTCGTCGCCGTCGTCGTCGCCGTTGCCGTCGTTTTCGTCGTCGTCGTCGTCGGCGGTGGCGTCGTTGTCGTCGCCGTCGCCGTAGATGTCGTCGTCGTCGTCGCCGCCGTCGCCACCGCCGTCGTCTTCGGCGGCGTCGGTGTCGGCGTCGGCGTCGGCAACGGCGACGGCGGCGTCGTCGATCGTCGTGCGTCGTGCGTTCTGCGTCGTCGTCGTGCGTCGTCGTCGACGTCGTCGTCGCCAGCGGCGTCGTCGTCGTTGGGGGGGGTTGTCGACCCTCCAATGATTTTCCCGGGGGGGGGGGGGTCCAGACACCTCCATTCATATTCGTTCGGAAGGGGGGGGGGTATCTGGACGACCCCACTCATTTTTCGCGGGGGGGGGTTCGAGACCGCCCCCTTGGTTGTTTTTGGGGGTTTGAACCCCCCGTGCCAAAGCGGCAGAAAGTGTTCTTTCCTGCGTTTCAATCCCAGCGCGCATGGCATGACCGGGCGACGCTGCAACGCGGGCACGCGAAATGAATCACAGCTGTGTAGCGCGCGAGCGCGCGTTGCGCGATATGCGCCGGCGAACGGTTCTCGCTCGAATGCGACCCGACACACATACAGTATCCAGCACCGTGCCTTGAGGCACGAGCTGGAGTGTGTTCATGTCCCTTGCTCAATCCTCTGGAGCCGAAGCCCTCAATCCTGAGGATTCTTGCAGGAGCCCGGACCCAAAATTCTCAAATCTCTCGGGGCTTGCCGCGTGCTCCAAGGGTTCACAGAGTGTTCCCGCATGAATTGTTCTTCGGGGGGCCAGGATGGGCCCAAAACGGATCCAAGAGACCCCTCGGAGCACGCCGAGGCTGTGCAAGGGCGCCTCGAATCGCTACACGATCAGCCCAATACGCTCAAAATGGCCTCCAGTGAGCCAGTAACGTGTCCAAGACGCACCATGAGGACTTAAAGAGCACCCCCAAGAGGGCCCCTAGAGGCAAATACCGTCCCCGCAAGCGGGCCCAAAAGGCGCACAAGGAAAGCCCCAAGAATGGGAGCCCGAACGGACAATTCGAGCCTTCCGTCGCAAGGTGCACCCTGGAGGCCCTAAGAGTCCCCTAAGAGGCCCCCCCCAAGGTCCCCAAGACGCCCCAAGAGGCACCAAAACGGCCCCCACGAGGCCTCAAAGCTGCCTCCAAGAGGCCCTCGAGAGGCCTCGCACGACATCCCAACGAACACCCCAAAGGCCTATGACCTACAACCCAGGCGCGGTGGCGGGATGGGCCGAAAGCCTGTCGTAGTAAGATATGTATTGTTCTTGGTCTCCTAGATTCTAGCAGCATGTTACGAGGCCCGGTCTAGGGTGTATGATCCAATGCTTCGGAACACCGTCGGTGGGCCCATAGATCTCCATACACACTTCCCGTTGTAAACATTGCATCCGTACATGTCGCATTGCCTGACAGATCCCCAGACCTTGGACCATCTGATCTCACCGTGCCCGCACAGAGCAGTGGTGACTGGATTGGTGTCAACCTGATGGCTCACGCACGTCCCATGATGCCACTTTGTCACTCATGGCGTGCAAACCAAAACAAATGCTTCGAATTGAGCATGCAAACGCTATGAACAGCGAGTGGTGACCAGTAGTAGCCAACAATGACGCGAGCAGAGCGAAGTGCATGTTTCTGCCGCCGAAGCGATTTGAAGCAAACGGTGATGACGAACAGATCGCAGCTGCCGCATGCCATGTCGTGTAACAAAACTCGTGCTCTGGACCAGCATCAAGTGCACTAACACCCCAAAGATCACGATCATGAGCCAATAAAATGTTGTGCTGGTCCAGGCCTGCTTCAGGAATGCATCCCTGGGGACATTCCGACCACCCAGCTCAACGTGTCTTCAGGTGCCAAGGAAAAGAAAGATGCCATACACTCCCTGGGCACTCTCTCCGCACGCTGTTGCCATACTCTCCCCTGAGCCCGAAGTACGCTTTCATCCAAGGCCAGGCTAATAGCGATGTTGCTGAACGGCGATATTGGGAACCAAATTGTAGGAAATCGCGAGCCAACCTTTCCTACATTTCCGATCTGCGCATGGATCGAGCGACCACGACACAACGAATTGGAGGAAGGCGCGACCCACGCGTTCCCACAATACCGAAACCTATATCGGAATTACCTAGATCGCCGTTGGCCCGTCTACGGTTGATATTAATTGATAAAAGGAACTTGCGTACCATAGCCCCTGCAAGTGCGGATAAGAGTACGGGGGCGGGGGTGTCTCGTCGGCAGTCTGTGGGGCTCGAACCCAAACTAGAGGAAGCCCGCCGCAGGCACCGATTGTTGTTCCACATAACACTTTAGTCAACGCAGTGGGGGTGTGTCGCGGGCGGGTCACGGGTCGAAGACGACGACAACAACAATCAGTGTAAGACTGCTAGCTGGTATCTGTTCGACTTTCGATCAACATGTAACTCCCAAACCCTCGATACCCGTCCACTTCGTCTTCGAGCGTGCCCCCCTTGTGGGCACATCTTTCTTGCCAGCCACGTGTAGCTGGCGCGGCCCGCACAGGATCTCGAGGGAGACAGGACAAGACATGTAGCGAGGAAGAGTGCGGAAAAGGGAGGGGGCAGGGAAAGGGCAAGGGGTAGGGATAAGGACTCGGTATCGCTTGGACGTCCATGTCCCGTGCATGTTTCGGTTTCGTGCGTGTTTTTTCCTTTTTTGCTCGATGGTCCAGGATGGTCCTCGATGGTCCCCGCCGAGAAAAAATGCACACGTCCGAGCGATGCCAGGAGGATGGAGCAGGAGAGCGATTCGCAGAACTGGGGCTGGAAGCAAGAGAACAAGCGGGCTGATCGGGCGAGCGGGCCCAGAGGGCCGGGTCGACCGGCCGGATAGTAAATCATCCCCCCCCCTTCCCCCCTCTATTCTTTTATCCCGGTTCCATCGGATTTAACTGTGGATTTTTATCCTTCTTCTCGGTCTCTCCATTTTCTGACACAGACGGCTCTCTTGTCAAATGCGTTCGAAACGTCTCGGCGCGTTCACAAGTTGGAAGATGCGCGATAAGTTGCGCTGATTTCTGCGGCCGAATCTCTGCTCGGCACGGTCAAACAAAAACTGAATTGTGGAGATCATCTCAGTCTTGTGCCAAAATCTACAAGGTCAGTCTACAGGAGCGCCCAGGATCACCATCATCATCGTCGTCATTCGCATCATCATCATCATCATCATCATCATCATCATCATCATCATCATCATCATCATCATCATCATAACTTAGAACTAACATCACCCTTTTCAAGAGAAGCGTTGATTATCCCCGCCAGACCCCCGAACTTCACTATCCCTGAATGATTATGATCGGGGGTCGTCGGTTAGTTTTCTAGTCATTAGCTGGATTTCAAACTGCAGGCTTCTTTGCATCATCGACCATGCTTGTCGACGGTGCGCCTGGCAAGCACAAAACCGTCTGTTTTCGCAATTGCGGAAGCGGGAGGGCAGGCATGTTGCCAAACATCGTGCTATCGCATGAACTTGCCTCGCATGTGTTCCAAGGCTTCTCTATGCTGTCCCGCCCGCCGGCCTGCCCATTAGTGGACCCCGGCGCCACCTGAGCTGAGCGATGGGCTTACGTTGGTGATGGCAATCCAAGGAGAGAGCCCTGCTTCTAGGGGAACAAAAAGTGGCATAAACATAAAAACTCTGAGGTCCGCGCGGATTTCTCGGATCGGCGCTGGACCCCCCTTAGAGCCAATCCGAGAAATCCGCGCGGACCTCCGAGTTGTTATGTTTATGTCACTTGTTGTCCCCCTATGTTTAACGTCAAATGTCGGTCCTTCTCGTCACAACCCTCGTCATCGTCTTCGCTCTTCCTCGCAGACAACCATCGTGGGCATCGTCCTTGGATGAGTCTCCCCAGGTCCAGATTGTCTGCCGTCGCAGTTGTTTGAACCATGGCGTCGAAGATCGCCCCCGAGAGTGCCCCAAGAGGCCCCTCCACCAAGGAACCCCAAGAGGCCCCTAAAACAGCTCCGAGTGAGCCAACAACGCTGCCAAAACAGCTCCAGGATGTCTCCACGAGGCCTCCACGAAGCTCGCGGAGCGAAAGCGCCGCGAAACCCTGGCGGGCCTGCGCAGGCTGAGCCAAGGCTTCGGATCGATGGTCCTCACAGCTCTTTGTCCCTGGAGGGCAACCAGAAGCCTCTGGGGCGCGCTCAGAAGCCTCGGGGGCGCGCTCGGAACCTTCTGAGAAAGGCTCAGAAACTAGTGGAAAAAGCTCAGAGGCCACTGATAAGCCCTCAAAGATCACTAGTAAACGCTCGGGGCCACTGAGGAACGCCCAGAGGCCACTGGGAAGCGCCCAGAGGCGTTCAGAAGCCTCAGCACAACGCTCAGGCGCGCAGAAGCCTCAACGGCCTCTGCAGAGCGCCCACGCGCCCAGGAGCCTCTGCAGGGCGCTCAGGCGCCCAGGGGCCTCAGAAACCTATGCAAAGCGCTCGGGCGCTCACAGGCCTCAGAAGCCTCCGCAGAGCGCTCAGGCACTGCGCTGAGAAGCCCCAGAAGCCTGTGCAAAGCCCTCAGGCACTCAGAAGCCTCTGCAGAGAGCTCAGAACCCTCAGATGCCTCAGAAGCCTCTGCAGAGCGCTCAGAAGTTTCAGAGGGCCTCAGAAACATTGCAGAGCGCTAAGGCGCTCAGGAGCCTCAGAAGCCTCTGCAGAGCGCTCAAAAGTTTCAGAGGGCCTCAGAAGCTTCTGCAGGGCGCTCAGTCTCTCAGAAGCATCTGCAGAGCGCTCGGGCGCTCGAATGTCTCTGCAGCACGTTCAGGCGCTCATGAGCTTCTGCAGAGCGCTCAGGCGCTCGGAAGCCTTTGCAGAGCGCTCAGGCGTTCCAGGGGCCTCTGCTGAGCGCCCACGCGCGTCTGAAGCCCGGTTGGAAAGTGGCTGTAAAGTGCCCCATCTGGGTTATAAAGTGGGCCGTTCTGGTTGTAACGTGGGCTGCTCTGGTTGTGAAGTGGTCGTTCTCAAGGTCTCAAGGGGAAGCCATACACTTCGATCCTGTGCTGGTTGTAAAATCACCAAAAGAAGCGTTCGGGTTGGAAAAGGGACCGCCTCTCGTCCCAC